TCAAAAAGTGCAATCGAGTCCCAAAACTTTCAAAAAGGAAATTAAGTTTTAGAACTCGATCGCGCTTTCGTGACAAGTTTTAGGATTTCCAATTTTCTTGTCCCTTTATTATACTATTGGTTAATCACTAAGCGTTGACATCTTAAAGTCACGAACTCTATAGTCAGAACTACCCTTCATATTCTTAAAGGATTTCCAATTTACTAATCGCTAGTTAAGACCTATAAAATTAAACTAATATAAACATCATGATATTTCAGATTAATTATGACAAATTTTGTCACTTTGATATTAGTACGGCCTTACACCAGGCCGGTCTCCTTTTCTTTTCCGACGGGGGGGGGGACCCTAGAAGGACCCCCACCGTGGGAACGCAGCCGGCCAAGCTGGAAAGGCGGCAAAGTTGAAAACCTACTACAACTGTCTGTCAAATGTTTGCTTTTTGTCTGGAAGGTGCAACGAATCATCATCGATCCATCATCTAATCCACCAACTAGCAGTTCAATAAGGACATGGCCATGACAAGTCCACGAGCTAGACAAGAAGCAGCACCATTTCGCTCTTCTTTTTTGACCCACCAAAACACTACTAAAAGCTCGTCTATAAATTAAGTCATTAGGAAATGTGACATGATTTTGATGAATAATGTAGTGGGCGGAGTCTTAGTGTATGTCTAGAATTATTTCTTTTTCCGACCGTGAATAATTTGTCCTCCGACATCTCGGTATTTTACAGACTCTATGTCGAGGATTGGGAATCTTTCTCGACGTGTCTCTTACGATGATCCCAATCAGATTTCACGGGAAAGTGATGCGTCTTCGTAATGAAAATTGAGTGGAAACATGAGTTGGCTTTTATTGTATCTAGAGAACGAGCACTGTGAACTATCAACTCCAAAAAAGATAATTGGTAGAATGAAACCGAATGAGATTCGGCGATTACTGACTAGCATTTGATAAGGTTAACAGGGAATGAATGTTCACATCATAAGAATTCATATTCTCTAATAGATTGTATATCCGCATAAGATCAAGAGGTTCTAGAATGGTTTGATCTATTACTTGCGTATCGATTAATTTATCCATTAGGTCAAAGTGGGTCATTTTCTCGGGAGGCTAAGTTTTTCGTTGGCCATAATTTGAGCCATACCCTTTCGAAGAGAACTTTGCATTCCGCCTTATATGTGCTTTTCACGTGATTGGTGAGTGCCAGGGGCGAATCCGTCTAGCAAATATGTCGGGATTAATCTCGCCTTTTAGGTTTTCTAGGTAGTCACAATTTGCTTCCTAAGGTTTTGGAAATTCGACAATGCGCATCATGACCTTTTGAATATGTGGTAATGTTCCCTTGACATTTACTGTAGAATTTTAAAAAAAAAACTCAATTATAAGTAAGCAAAGGATTTCAAAGGACAAAAGGAGTACACAAAAGAAATGGATTGGAGGACAAAATGATGGTTGGCACCATCCGTAAGGCGGCTTTGGCTAAGTTGACCGGTCCTCTCTCCCTCTCGTCTCTTTTTGAGTTTGCACCGAAAATTCTAAAGCTTGTATTGAAAATATAATTAAGTTCTAAAATTTTCAAAAAATGTAATCAAATCCTAAAATTTATCGTGAAAATGTAATCGAATCCTCAAAATTTCTAAAAGGTACAATCGAGTCTTAAAATTTGTCACAAAAGTGCAATCGAGTCTTAAAATTTGTTAAAAACGGAATAACTTAATTGGACCGATTTAACAAGTTTTAGGACTAGATTTCATTTTTTGAAGGTTTTAGGACTCAATTGCACTTTTGTAACAAGTTTTATGAATTAATTACACATTTTGAAAGTTTTAAGACTCGATTGTAGTTTCGTGACAAATTTAGGACTTTCAATACACTTATTCAAAAAAAAGAACAACATGTCCATTTCATATTTTCCCTTTTTATCAAATATGTTTCTCGATAATTTTCTTTTATTTTTAATCTTTTAACAATAGAAAATGCACATTATCGCACAATCTCAACAATTGTGTGTGTTAATGATAAAAGGACTCGATTGCACGCATCATGTAAGTTAAATGACTTCATTCAAATTAAATAGAGGACTTAATTGCGTAATAAACATAAAAAATCTAATTATCCTTAAGGAAAGTCGATAAATCCACTAAACACTCTGTCAAGTATTTAATATGTCCTATTTTACTAAAACTGAATTTAAGATAGACTATTTTTCTTTTTAACTTGATGCAATTATTTTGTCACTTCGAATCAATCGTTATTTTTTAATTAAGTAAGATCAACTCTAACTTGTGTTTCACATTTGGTATTGGATTGATCCAAAGTAATTTACAATCTACGGTATAGCTTCATATTAATAAATATCTACAATATCTTTGTCACATAATAATTGTGTACAATATAGTAATTTACTGTTATAATTTTTTTTTCTATTCATGATGTACTATTTCGCGTGACGTTAGTCTATTTTTTTTTTATAAGTTCTATTTCAGGCGGTCAATTTCTCTTTCTCTATATTTTTGGATAGATATATTTGTATTTGTTTTTCTTTCTACCCAAAACGGTTAACACTTGTTATGCCGAACAGGGTCAATCTTACATATTTAATAAGCTTAAATATCTTCTCATTCTCGTGGAGTTACTTTTACTACGTGTTACGTAAAAAGTTACTACATAATACGATATTTAAGACTATGCAGATTGACTAAAATATTCTTCTCTAAATTTTTTTTTGGAAAAATGGAAAAATTTCTCTCTATTTCATAAATGTCGTACTTAGATTGTTCCGTTACTCATATAAAATATTCCATTTTGTACTTAGATCGAGACTTTAACTTTAACTTTAAAAAAAAAAAGAGTAAATTTTATCTGGAAAAGAAAAGAATCTTTTCACTAAATTGAATGCATTTAGTATTCAAAAGTGACTTTTACTATAATGTACTAGTGTTCTTGCCCACGCTTCACTTGGTTTTTATCATTAAATTTTAAAAAAGATACTTGTTTATTAATAAACGGGTTTTATCTTTTTATTTTTAATTTTTTTTAAAATTCCTAAATACTCATATTACACTTACACATTCCAATTCTCCGAATGTGATAATGGATTATATGATAGGTAAAGCGAAGCCCAAATAGTTTTTTTTATGGGAATGATATAGTTATATATTTAAAATATTTCCCTTTTAATATATCCTATTTTGTTTGTGTAGTCAAATTAATTTTAATACATATTACGTGAATCATAATATGCTTCGACATTATAAAAACATCTCCCTTTAATTTCCAGTTTTATTACATATTACATGAATTATAATATGCTTCGACATTATAAAATGTTTGTCCCTACTTCATACTTATTGTATATAGTCAATTTTATTACATATATAAAACAATAGCACAGCTAAATCTTTGTACGTAAAATTAAGATTTCAAAACATCTCCCCTTAATTTCCGGTTTTTTGGAAAGACTCTTGAAACTTTTTTTGATAAGGAAAAGACTCATCCCATTTAATTTTCCAAAAGTCTATTTCATAATATACATACACATATATACGTATAAATCTGAAAAAAAGAGAAGCCTCATTTTTCCTATACTATATACATAGATTAGCATTTAAAATCCCCAAAATTTTGACTTTTCAGAAGCCACCAACTAGCAAATGCTCGCTTTGATTAACGGTTCGACTTTGTCCTAACCCCTAAAATCGAAGAATCGTAAGTGCAGTGCCGATACTAAGCTCCGGTAGTTTAGCCTCCTATAGCAGTCTTTCATTCGATTCTTCTTTAACGTAAAGATTTAGCGACAATGATATGAAAACAATCGATATGAAAACAATAAATAGAAAGACTCATTTGCCAATCAAACTCCGAGAGGCCGACTCTCTTTAGGTATATGGGCTCCCCTAATAGGTTAGCGCCGAGAAAGGCCCTTCTTCAAGCTTTCTAGTTCTAAGTTCACCCCCCACGCCATCCAAGTCCAAGTCCAAAGAGCATTCGTTCAAGCTGGGAAGCCACTTTGCCCACTTTAATTAATTAGCCACGTTAGAGTTTCCATCAAACTCAAATGCATTATATTAGTTTCTTGAAAATTACAAAAAAATTTGAATGCCATAAACTGTTGCAATTTGGAGTAAATTAATATCACGCAAAAGTGTGATTTTGAAGTAATAATTTTTTTAATTTTTTTTAAAAGTTAAGAGAAGTAAAAGCTCCACCAAAGACCGGTGAGATTTAATTTAGCTTGTTTGGGGTGGGCCTATTTTCGTTTTTTTTGACATGGTTTATTTTAGTTAATGACTCACTTAATGAGCCATAAAAAAAATGAGTCATTTTTGCATTTCTGCAAAATTTGTAAAAGTGGAAAAAAAAAATTGGTGCTACCCGCTAATGTACACAATTGTTTTTGAAATAATTTGGGTAGTGCAAAAAGAGTTCTTAAATTTAACACCAAAACGTAAATGTACAATCTTTTTTTTTTTTTGGAAAATGAGCAAAACGTAGCTAGAAAAAAAATTTGGTGCTACCCGCTAATGTACGATTGTTTTCGAAAATGAGAAAAACGTTGCTGAAAGCAACTAAAGTCAGCATTTACAAAAATGAACCTAGAAAAAAGCTGTCGCACTTTATTAGAATAAGAATAAAAATATAAGACTTTTCTTATGAACCCCAAAAATCATATAAGTGCGTGTTATTTTTTTTTTCCTTGGGCTGGCCAATAAAGAATTATGCATTTTTTTGCTCTCAAAAGAGAAAAAAAAAATTAAGAATTAGGAATTTTAGGACATGTTTTGGTGTCCAGCAGAAGTAGCCGTTCTGATACCGACATAAAGTATCGTTTTCTTTGGGGCTCGGGCTCGGGACAAATTAAATTAAAAAAAAAAAGAAATTTTTTCTTTTTGAAATCCTGAACGACAGTTGATTCGATTTGAATTATAAAAAAAAAAAAACAGGCGTGTCTCAATAATAAAACTCAAAAGAAAGAGGCACCAGTAACGGCTCTCTTACCCGCTCGCTCGTCGAAATTTGAAATCCTCTCTCTCTCTCTCTCTCTCTGCGTCATCTTCTCGGTCCACGTGCATCTCCTCCGGCAACCTCGTTCATCTTCACGACCCTGGTCACCTCGTCTTCTCCAGATTGTCCTCTCTCTCTCTCTCTCTCTGTGGACCAAGAAAACCATCTCAATGGGTAGCTGTTTCAGCAAGAAAAGCTCTTCCCCGGCCGCCCACGGCGTCTCTCCGGCCGCGAAGCCGCCGCCGCCCGATTCGCACCCTCCTCGCGAGATTGACGTCGTCGCGAAGAAGGCGGAGTGCAGGCCCGGCGGCAGGGCGTCGCCGCGGGATCACCAGGAGAAGGAAGCCGGGCAGGAGGGCTTCGTCAAGAAGGAGGTCTTCGTCATCAAGCACCGGAAGAGCCACGACAGACGCGCTGCTTCTTCTCCTGAAGAGAAGCCGGTGGTCGACGGCGCGGCTCCGGCTGCGGATGCTGGCAAATCCGGCGAAGATGCGGCTAAGGCGGCCGGTCCCCTGGCCGATTTGAGTAATGGCGGGGAGAGCTTGGCTGTGAATGGGGCGAGCGCAGTCGGCGTGAGCGCCGGCGTGAGGACGTCGAACTGCACCAAGGAAGAGGTCGATGCCATTCTCATCCAGTGCGGCCGGCTTAGCCGCAGCTCCTCCGCGAGAACCGGCGCTGCTTCTGGTGGCAGGGTCTATTCGGGATCGAAGAGGAGCTATGATTTCGATAATCAAAACGATGCCGTCGCCCGGGCTGTCGATGCTGCGGGAAGCGAGCAACCCGAGATGAATGAGGATGAGCTGGCGGAGAAACGCCAGCACCGGCAGCGCCACCGCCAATCGACGCCTTTCCGGTCCCACAGCCAGGGGAGTGGGGCGAGGAGGAGGACCCCGAGCAGGGAAAGAGAGCAGCGCTCCTCAAGCAGAGAAAGGAGGGTGAGCCGCTCGCCCGCTAGACGTTCCGAGAATGCCACTCTCTCGAATTCGAACGCGAGTGCCGCTGCCGGGGGCTCTGGCAACAGCAATAGGCCCGGGAAGATGGTGTCGGTCCCTGCTTCTTTGGTGGACAAGAGCAACTGTGCTGGCGATCCTCATGAATCTCAAGCCACCATCAAGAGAATATCCGTGAAGAGGAACGTAGGGGAAGCGCACACGGTGTCGAGAAGCGCTGCATCGCCTCGTTCCCAGTCGCCTGCCAGGCAAACGTCTGGCAGTGTCGGAAGGCATCAGAACAGTGAGAACCAGCAACCTTCCCTCAGTCGCAACCCATCCAGGAAGGCGGAACAATCGCCGTGCAGGAGAAACCCGCTCGGCGAGATCGATACCAATGCCCGTCAACAGCAACCTCAGCCGCTAACCAACAAGAGCACGCATAAAGCTACGGAAGACGGCACGGTAAAGGAAGTCGAGGTACTTCTCGCTGACATTCCGTTAGTTTCTTCGAGAAATTACTCCTATTTCTTACCACAATCCTTAATGAAATTGGTTGTTGCTACCTTATCGATTCCAGGCTCGAATGACGAAACCGACCGTGGATAGTAACAACAGCAGATACGCTCACGGGACTTGTGACAGAACTGGGGGTAAAGTGACAGAGGACAACAAGGCTCGAGGTTGTGATTCTGCAGAAAAGGAGCAACAAGCTGTCATGGAAGTGCTGAAGAGGCAAGCAGCACCAATGTCCGGGATGGAAAGCCAGAAACCCCAGGCACTGGCACGAAGCCGGTCCTCGAGGCTGTCCGAGCTCGAACTGAATCCTCAGATTGTGCCTGAACCCACGTCCTATACGAATTTGCTGCTCGAAGACATCCAGAATTTTCACCAGAAGCACACTACCACTTTCACGGTCCCGGCTTGTGTCACAAAGGCCTGCTCGATCTACGAAGCAGTCGCCGACCTCAACTCCAACAAGAACTCCAATGTAGCCAGCGCCTTGTCCGAATTAAGAAAAGCCGCGTCCAATCAATGCAGCCACAACGGCTACAATCCCTCCTACTCAGGTAACGATCTCGTCAGGAAATCAGAGGGCAGGGACCCATTTGTGGAATCGGAGTTAGTAGTCGACGATGATATAATGGAGCCGAGCATTCACAAGTATGTGACGGTGAAGAGGGGTGGCATGCCGAAAGGAGATGATAAGGAGGAGATAGAATCCTCAGGGAGCAACAGCTTCGTCAGTTCTGGAACACAGCAATGGGGAGTGTCTTCCTCGTGGGAGCCCGGTTCGACCGATTCATCCGACTGCTGGACTTCCAATTCCAAAGCTGCCGTGGACGACTTCAGTCCGTTGGCCTTCCAGAGGATTGCTGTGTCTGAATCAGGTCGCCAAGTGAGCGAGTCCAGAAGGGAATTGAATGTTAAGAGGAGGGACTTCGGTGTTCGACAAAATGGGATCGGGAGAAGCAGGACATAGTCCCCAGTCAGTAATCTTTATCTTATGGCAGTTATCAGCAACTACTGTGCCAGTCAAGCGTCGACAAGAAGCAGAGACGGATTTGCTTCTATTTTAAGGGTTCAGTGTACGTTTCACGGCAGTTGCAGACTTGCAACATTCGGTCTTTCCTTAGGACATATTGCAGCTTTCATTATTTTCGCACCATAGATTGTGCATAAGTTACTCATTTATGTGCTATCTTTCAAGAGAACTTGCCATGTGGTTGATTTTTCATGTCAGTTACTGTTATGCAGAGTTTTCCAAGTTTGTGAGGATTTTATCCCATCTAAATTGGTCCATGACCCACAATGGCACTGCCACCTTAATCACTGAACCAGAAAGAAATCCAAAACTGAAAACAGAATTTTATGAGGGATAGATCAAACTGCAAGAATAAAGGTTCATTCAAGGGAAAATGATACAAAAAGTCCCTGAACTTTGGCTCAATCTGCAATTTGGTTCCTAGATTTTTAATTTGTTCAATATAGTCCATAAACTTTAATCCAATATTTAATGTAGTCCATGAACTTTCGATTTATTCAATATGGTCTCTGAGCTTTTGGTACATATTCAATATAGTCTCTGAACTTTATAAAAATATTTAATGTAGTCCCTGAACTTGAATTAATGGAATGACTACATTGATCATTTTTATAAAGTCCATGGACTATATATTAAACATGTACTAGAAGTTCAGGGACCACATTGAACATTATGCTAAAGTTCAGGGATTACATTGAACAAATTAAAAGTTCAGGGATCAAATTGCACATTGAGTCAAAGTTTATAGACTATTTGTGTTATTATCCCTTCATTCAATATTCTCTGGTGGTTTTTTTTTTGTTTTACTTTTGCTGGTTAATATACCAGAGACATTGCAACAATTATTAGCAACCATAAGGCCTGTTTGGCCAAGTTATTAGCAACCCTATTTGATGAGCGACATGACCCATATGCAGTTGACGACCGTGACTCGTAAAATTCCCTATGTCCCCAATAGAATCAATCCAGCGCGGTGGCATTATGCTATTTCCAGATTTTGTAGCGACAACAAAGTGACAGTTCACTTTCAAACTAGACCAGCGTGGCGTCTGTCTATTTTCCTTTGCCAATTCGATTGCTAAGGGAAAAGCATTTCCTTTCCTCTAGTGGAACACAAAGGCTCGAGTACCTGTCACTCAACCCTCCAAGCAAACTCTCATATGATCCAGGGAGATCACTGCTATTGTTTCAAGCGGAGGCTTGAAAGCTGCATCCATGTGGATTTTAGTAGTGCCATGAGGGGATGGGAGCCACTAACTGATTAGTGTAGGAGCTTGGTGGACTGGCATAGATGAGGCCTTCACTCATAGAAATTTCCAAAAATGTGCGCAACACCATTGTTTTGTGGTTTGTGTATTCTCAAAACATATAAAGAGACTTTCGGCAACTCAAGTATCTAGGGTTGTAATATACTGCATAGATAAACAAAGTTCATTTGCATATCACAGAAGCAGAAAAAGGAGTACCATTTGTGCATGTGGCTTCCCATAAATACCTTCATCAACCAAAGACAACTCGCTGGAGTTAGAGATATTAATAAAAATAGAGAATCGAAAAGAGAGAAGATTGACCCCCTGCCATAGACAACTCGCTGGAGTAACCAACTGCAGAATATGTTAACCAAAAATGCCACAACGGCAAACAAAAGGATATGTATCTGCAGAGCATTCTATTCTATTGTCCTATACATAACATCGAGATGAGTGCTCCAACAGCTCGAGCCATTTTTGTCGAGAAAAGAGTAATATACTCACCGTCTTATTTACAAAATATCTCAACTCCTACTCTGTCCACGACCTTTATGGATGCATGCATGATTTAGCAACAATTAGTTCAAACTTCAGAGGTAGAGCCTGAGAGTGAAGCACCTGCTAGGCGATAAACACAGGTTTCACATACTTCACATGTTGGGCATGCCATACTCAGCATAAGGATCATTCCAAGCTGTTCTGGTTGTTGATCATGTATATGGCAATCAAAGTAATAAAAGCACCACCCAGTTGTAGAGGTGAGAAGGTTTCATGGAGAAATATGTACCTGCAGGTATGGTCTACGATTATGGCATAAAAAGAAGGCATGCAAAAATAAATAACAGACAATAAAAGGCTAAGGTAGGATGGACTGTACCCGAAAATTGAAGCAAACATTGGAGTAAGAAATGTGAGGGAGCTCAGCTTCGTCAAACTTCCTGCATGCAATAGCAAAACAGAGTGAACTAGAGTTGGGAGGATATGAGAATACTTATTACACTTCCATCATGTGTGACAAGGAAAATAACCACGAGTTGAGGATAAAATACATAAGATTCAAAATATTCAGGATACCAACCTTTTGTAGCATTGTAGTAGAATACACCATAGCTGATGGCACTTCCACAAATCGAGGTATAAAGTAGTGCTGATATATCGGTCACGGAAAGCTCCGATAGACCACTGGTAAAGATAGGATCATGATTGAGAATCGACATTATTGCAAGAGGAAGACCGCCAATAACCATATGCTACAGGAAAAACAATCAAATTGAAGACGTCAGTTAATCTTCTAATTCTTCAACTCTTTTTACTGAGAGGGCCACTCTTGACAAGAAGAAGACCACTGTAATGGTCAGCTATACGAAATAACCAAAAATAGAAGTCAAGAGTTAATCACGTGCGGTGAAGTTTTATGATAAAATTTCACAGCTAAAATGTGATATATTTGTGCAAAGTTTCTCAAATACCTGAATGCCAAAAGACCCACTCTTTTAAAGGATGAAATGGAGCATGGTTTCCTAAGTATGGATAATTAATAATGTCTTCAACTGAGCAATGGAAAATCTATGCTCTTATGTGTAAGGCAATATAGTATTAAGCCCATACAATAGATCAATTACGAAGGTATCATGCAGTCTCCCCAATGATTAGAGAACCAGCAATTAGCTTCGAGCTGATACACCAATAAGTTATCATTTTGAACAGTGAAGAGATATAAAATTATCACAGCTAAATTACTGGAAATATGAAATCGAAACAGACACAAGTAGCAAAGCAGACCAACAACGGGCCTCTAGCTAAATAAAAAAGCAAATTCAAGCACTTTAATATCCACCAGGCTAGGTGGAACCTACCCATCCAGTAGCCATAACTGGATCAGAATACTTGGAGACCCAACGGACCATAACAGTTCCAGTGGCCATGCTCTGAGCTGCAAGAAGCATCCACCACTCACCACTTCCCCACAGTGAAAAATTGTTGCCATCAATAGCAACTGCCGGTACCTACAGCTTAAAAATCACCATCAAATAGTGCAAGAGCCATGTGAAATAGAGATTGCTTATCAGTAAGAATCCGCATATATCTCTAATATGATTGTAAAAAGCAAAAAAACGATATGCCAGTTTCCACCTAAGGTAGATCACTCGCATTTTGACCGAAGGAAAATGGTATATAGCTACTGAAAAAGATGCATCAGATTTAGTAACATGCCCATTTTAGTTGGTGTAATTAGGCTACATACAGCAATGAGTGGCTAAAGGAACTCCAGTAGTATAGTGGTGGTACCCTCACCATATTACCGTTGAGCCTTCATTGTCAAGTCCAAATTGTGACCTTATGTACCCTTACCTGAACTTCATCATACCTAAAAAGGTTTGGTGATGGCAACAATAACAAAGGCCCATTTCCAGTATGAGGGGTCTGTTACAGGGAACCATTAACTCCTATCAAGTATCATGTCTCTCAAGACAATAGACTCGGAAACTATATCCTCTTAATGTTTCCCGTAGACATCTTCTTAAGCCTCCTCCTCCTCCCAAAAATCTACCTTCTGGGATTACATAAATAACATTTTCTGGCCGCTGCATTTTGGCTAGTTAAAGTCTCTCCGCATGTCTGAACCAACTTATTTCAGATCTGTATCTTGAATTGAGGCCAATTGAATTTTCCAATGGTTAAGATATCTGTCTACCTATCTCAGATACAGTCACATAGTTTACATGTTACGCTTGACTGGCCAACATGTCTATCCATAGACTGTTGCCATGTTATTGCAGCCTTAAATAGTTTTCCCTAAAGCCTGAGTAGCATTTTCAGATTGTACATAGTGCTCGCAACATTTCACCCTGTAGATCCATCCCGCTTGCATATAGTAACGGATCTCCATGTAATCCACTTCTATTCTTGGAAGATGTAGCTCTTTAACCTCCGTTATACTTTATTACTCTTTTCACCATTCATCTTATAAGTCATAAAAATATAATTCTATATTTGACACAATTCATTGTATTTCGACTACAGATACCAAAGTACTCTTTCTCCTCCAGTGCATTCCACACACAATTATCTAACCCAATGATCTCAACCTCAATGACTCAACTACCTCAACTAAACATTTCACTTTGATGGTAGATCCCTTTTGAAAAGACTTCAACATGCTTTTTCAAACCAGCCATTTAGCTGGTGATGAAAAGAAAAACACTTCATTTTAAGAGAGAGAGAGAGAGAGACAGAGACAGATATTGTTGGAAAAATCTATTAGGCAGTGTGAACAAGTAAAACTCATAGATGCTCACATCAAGCTATAGGCCCATGACCAAACGATAAGTCATATGCTACCTTTTGAAGGAATCTTCACATGAGATAAATGTGAGACACATGCAGCTTCTACCAAGAATCAGCCAACTAATATTTAGCACGACAGTGGAAATTACTGGATAGTTTTAGGTTTGGAGGTTAAAAACAACTATGGGGAATTGAGAGCAAGTTTGGTCAGCGGTCAGAATCTTTGAAAATAATGAACAAGGATCTAAGACTTGAATCAAACCATATGTAGCTGGGAAATTTACAGCACGGTCATCAAAATGCATAAAAAAATGTGATTAAAGTGGCAACTTTTTTGCATATGCATTTGCTTAAAAGTGTAAGGAATAGGAATTTAGAGTTTACTAAAGTAAACAGCAAGTTGCAATGAATATGATAAGGAGAACAGATGGCAGATGTTCTGGACATGGAGTGCAAGGTGGAGCAATATCTATCCAATGCAATTATAACCATGAAAGCACATCCTATGAGAGACCGTGCAGACATGTCACAAAACCATCGAATAATGGTCCATCGACGAGATAAAGAATGTTGCATGGTATCTCCGAAGCACAACATAGCCCACTTAGTTTCTAAATTATAAGGATCAAGCCAATGCATATTCACTTAACACCAGAAAAATCATAATACAACTGGTGACACAAGGATTACCTCAAGGAGAAGAAGTCCAACAACACCAAGTATCAGCCCTGCGCCTCCAATTAACCCAATGGACTCACCGAACAACAGGGCTGCAAGTATAGCCACTGTTAATGGCTGAGAGTCAATTATCACCTGTAATAAATTCAGCTCCAGTAAGCCAAGCAGAATAGCTCGTTTCCTATCAACTGCCAAATCTACTAAACAGACAGGGAACAAATATCAAGACATCTGAGTCCATGTCAAGGATACCATGTATAAAGACTAATCCAACTGATAGCTGCAGCTATACTAAAAGACCGGTCGACCTTTCTATCACACATACTCATTCTTCCATTAGTGGTGTGGAAAAGAACAAAGGCAAGATTTTTCAGATAACAGTACAAGAATCAGCGTAAGTGACATCAGTCTTCTGACATGAGCCATTTCCTTAAGAGCACATTTCCAAAGCAATATGCGAGAATTTCTGTTACTCAGTAGCCATATTCAACATCAAAGAACCTTATAATTCACCTATAAGGTCGAAACCTTTTTGCCCTTTTCTTCTCATGGAGGCATTTAAACTGAGATAGAGAATGTAGTGTGTTCAACATACGCTTCCGAGACCCGCCGACGTCCTCTGCAACCCTTCGGCGAGAAATCCCTGCCCCAAAAAACCCATCAGCAGGGGAAAATTATTATCAATCAAACATGTCAATCTCACATTTTTTCTGAGAAAGAAAAGCAAAAAATGGCACACAATTACACATTAGAGAGAGAGAGGCGTGACCTGAAAACAAGAGGCGTCCACAAGGGCAAAAAGAGTGATGGAGAGCCAAGCGTTGAGGCCGGAGGGGGGCTTGCGGCCGCGGGAGGCCGCGAAGGCGATGAGGAGGAACCCCGCGGGGATGAGGCGGAACGAGGACACGAAGAAAGGGCCGGCCTTGGGGAGGACCTCCTTCATGGCCACCATGGCCGTGCCCCAGAAGAAGAAGGGCGACACCAGCACGCCCCACTCCCACAGAGACTCCTCCACCGACGACGTCGATGTTAACGACGACGACGTGGTCGCGGACCCTTTATCGTCCACATCATCCACGGCCGCGCCCACGCCGTCCAAGGACGGTTCTCGTTCGAATTCCACCTTCTCGCTGGTGCAGTAGACTTTGGAGCCGCGTTCCTTCTTGCTCTGCCTCATGACCATGAAGAGAGAAGGAGGGGTCGCGTTCTGGGTCGATCTTCGGAAGGGATGTCTACGTGGGTCTCGCACGGGAAGCGAGGAAAACGAGCTTCGAAGCGAGAGGGACTCCATTGCAGCTGGTTGGTGCCAGCAGTTGAGAGTCCATACCATCTCTCTCTCTACAGCCAGAGACAAGATACTCAGTGAGCCAGAGAGAGAGAGAGAGAGAGAGAGAGAGAGAGAGAGAGAGCAAGAGCCACAAAGATACTCAGCGAGCCAGAGAGAGAGAGAGAGAAGCTAAGCATGGCAGGTTTTTCTGTTTCCACGGTTGCTGTGATGGATGAGGCGGGGACAGCCACAAGTTTGTTTTTGAGAAGATTAAGAAAATGAAAAAGGAAAAAGAAAAAAAAACAAGAACAAAGCCGTTTTTTTAAATGAATTTTCTTTTTAATTGAGTCAATAATTTCTTCTACATTCGCAATTATTATAGTTATTTTTATTATTATTGCCAAGTTAGCATAACTCCGCATAACTATGGTTAAAGTATCGAACTGCGCAAAACAATTAAAGTTTCTAGGGAAATAAAAGCATACTTATTGATAATAGATTGAAAATATGATAATATAGTGTTCGGGTGCGCTACTGATTATTAAGTGGAGGGAGAAAACGAGCATTTATGTTAGAAAAACGGGGATATATGAAGGTATTTATGTTTTTTCCTACTATTTTTGTAAGGGTAATTAAGGAATATCTTATACAAATTCAGGTTTTGACTTAAATGTATCGATATTATATTCATTATACGAAGATGAGAACTTTTGAAAAATACATTGATTTCGAAAGGCTACTCATTGCTTTTGACGATGGCTACGTTATTAAAAATTGTGATATTAGCACTCTAATCGTGAGACAAACATATTATAATTTTATATGCGTACTATCGTGAGACAAGACATTAAATAAATACGAAGAGCTTAAATAAAATAGTTACCTTTGTATACTAAGTAGCGTTTTAGGTGATTGAAGGTATTTTTGAAAATCGGAAGTCATCGAGCATAATAATCTAACTCTCGTTTGTTCTATCAAGCATTAAATTTTGTCAATGAATTGATACCAGTGATGTAAATCGCTTTTTTAAACGACAATTTTAAAGATGGAATGTAAAAGAAAATGAAGAGTTAATGATAAAAAAAAGACTCATTGGCATGGAGACGGAGAACCCTCAGTGATATTTGGGAAAATTATACAAATTATTCATGAACTTTGATCTAATGTATAATGTGATTCATAAGTTTTTAATTTATTCAATGTGATCTTTGAACTTTACTCAATGTGCAATTTGAGTCATGAACTTTTGGTACATGTTCAATTTAATCTTTAGATCATATGAAATGTTCAATGTTGTCCCTAATCTCGAATTAATCGAAGGACAATATATTGAACATTTTCATATAATCCAAGGACTACATTGAATATGTATAAAAAAATCTAGGGATCACGTTGAACAAATTGAAAATTCACGGATCACATTGACATTTGGCTAAAGTTCGGGGACCATTTTTGTCATTATCCCATTGCATTTTACACATAAAACTTCGGGACGTTTATTTATGCCTTTTCTCTTTTTTTTTTTTTTTATGTTTTTTAATCACAAAAAACCTCAAACTGATACACCTATGACAAATTTATCCCAAACTAATTTTTTGACCACCAAAAATCCAAACTGGTACACATGTGACAAATTTATTCAAAACTATTTTTTTTACCACCAAAAACTGCAAATCGGTACACTTATAATAATTTTACCCTTCGTTAGTTTCCGTTAAATTGGATTAATATTTAATACCACGAAAAATCATAAATCAATACACACTTGTGATAAACGGAGGGTAAAATCCCAAACTGGTACACGCATCAATTGCCACGTTCATCCAACTCAACAATTTGATGGTAAAATGGAACATAAACTAAAGGAGGGTAAATTGTCATAAGTGTACCAGTTTGCGATTTTTGTTGTTAAAAAAATTAATTTGGGTAAATTTGTCATATGTATACCATTTTGGGGGTTTTTCGTAGTATTAAACCTTCTTTTTATATAGATTTGAAAGTAAAATTATTAACTTTGGGCTTTCTTTGATATCATTTGGTCTTTTCATATTATAATGGGGTTATTTCTAGTTTTGCAAAAGGAGTCCAATTTACAATGAATGTAAAAATTTGGAGAATATTGTCCAAAAAATCATAAATCTATTGCACTTTAATCAATTTAGTCTTAAACCTTTTAATTGTGCTAATTAAGTCCTAAACCTTTTCACATTTTGCCAATTGAGTCTATTCGGTTAATTTTGGCCGGAAAATGACTGACGTGGACGCTGGGCGTCCTACGTAGCATGGCTTGCGCACCGACATGGACAATTTTTAATAATATTTTAACTTATTTTAAATTTTTTATTAATTTTTTTCTTTTCTTCTCTTTTTCTTCTTTACTTTTTTCTTTTATTCCCTTTTCTCTTCTTTTCTTTTTTCTTTTTCCCTTTTTCCCTCCGCCGGCCATCGCCGGGCCTCACCGATGGTTAGCAAAGGTCGCCGGTCTTAGGTGAGGGCAGCCCTTGGGCGAGGCCCGACGATGGCTGACAGAGGAAAAAAAGAAAAGAAGAGAAGGAAAAGCTGCAGCCATACATTTGGAATATGTCTGGATTTATTATTACCTTTATAGTTGACTAGATCTAGATTAACTAAAAGTAAGTAATTTTTATTTTTCCTAGTGTAAGCAAACAAGCCCTTACCTTCCGAATAAATTTCACCTATGGGTCACCTAACTTTGGTATATCTTGTCATAAGATCTCCGGACTTTTATTTTTTATGGGAAGTTGCACAAAACTCCCCCGAATTTAGGGGGCAGTACACATTTGCCCTTAAACTTTCAACGGTTATATATTACCTCCTTCAACTTTTTTTTTTTTTCTATCAGTAGTATTTTAGTTAATTTATCTTTCTCCCATTTTCTATATCATTCATTTTTACACAGCAATCAAGGGCAAAAGAGGAATTCCCTTAAAAAAACGAGATGAAAATATACTTTTACACCTTAAAAGTCGTGTGCATTGCATACACTGACAGAAAAAATAATGTAAAATTGATAGCTATAACGAAAAGAGAGTTCCGGGGGTGTTACTTAACCATTGAAAATTCGAGGATAAGCGCGTACCACTGTAAATTAAGAGGATTTTGTTTAGATTTTCGCCTTATTTTAATAACTTGGAGCACTAGATTTCTTTCTTTGGTAAATGCAGTTTGACCAGGATCCGATCAAGCGGAATGCCAGACATGGCGCCTTGCAAAAGCATCTGTGCTTAGATAGACCTGCAAAGCTCGGGCAGGAATTCTTTTATCAGGGTACTATTAGAATATGACCAAGCTTGGTAGCTTCGTCATTTTGAAATGGCTGGATTCGGGTCCCCAGATCGTGGAAGTTATGGCAGAGTAGACTTCATTTAGGACACTAGGAAGTGTGTCATGCATGGCCACGAAGTCGGTGTCGTTGTCGCGTTGGGGTGGAGTGCGCGTGCGGAACATGCGAGCACATGAAGCAAAACACGAAAGGCGCTGGTGATTCTTCTGCTTCAAGTTGCTGATCTCGCTTGGAATTCCAATGCAGACAGCAGCGGAGCGAGAAGAATCTCAGTACAATTCTTTTATGGGGTTTTGACTTTGCCAAGTCGACTTTCTAGGAACTTTAGATTAGATTCAGATCCAGTCCTCACTATAAATATTGCATGTAGAGACTTGGGTTCTTGCCATCACCTCAAGAAAGAACGCAGTTGATACGCAGAAACTAATTTTGTTTCCGAGGTTTTGAAAGTCTCTGGGAGTGCTGCTGTGACACACATCATGGGCACTCTCAGTTTCTGCTCTGTCATGATCTTCTCCTTGTTGCTTGTTAAGGGCAGCCAGGCCGACCTCTATGGATCTACTCCGCCGCCGCCACCTGACGCGGTTTCCGGCAAAAGCTTTCCTCAGTCGGTGTTCTGCAATGACCCGACGAGTAAACGCTTCGGGGCTCAGATCTCCTGCCCCAGCCAGTGCCCCATCTTCAAGCCATCCAATTCCAAGGACAAAGCTTGCTTTGTGGACTGTAATTCCAAGAACTGTGAAGCTCTATGCAAGAGTATGTACTCTCTCTCTCTCGAGAGCATGTGTGTATGCAAGTACTAAAAGAAGTAATATAAACTATGCAATTACAGTACTGTTTTAATTTAGTGGATGGGTGCAGTGAACAGAATTTGTCATAATGCAGAAAAGCATGTTAATGAGATCATGTGCTTTCATGCGGAGTACCGAGCTTTGACAGTAGTGTGCGAGTTTCTAGCTCGTTTCTTTACTTTTCCGATAGTACGGTATTGTTCAAAGAGTACTAATTGTTTCCATTTCGAATCACAGCGCGAAGGCCGAACTGTAACGGGATTGGAGCAGCATGCTTTGACCCAAGGTTCGTTGGGGGCGATGGCGTCATGTTCTACTTTCACGGCAAGACAAACGAGCAATTCAGCTTGGTGTCCGATGTCGATTTCCACATCAATGCCCGGTTCATTGGGCGCCGCCCCCAGGGGAGGACGCGCGACAACACGTGGATCCAAGCCCTAGGCCTGATGTTTGGTCCCCACACCTTCGCACTGGCCGTCAACAAGGTCGCCCAATGGGACAACGAAGTGGACCAACTCGTCCTAACCTACGATGGCAAGCCGCTTCTCCTCCCTCCGGGCCAGCTTTCCGCTTGGACCACTCCGGACGGCAGGCTCTCTGTCGAAAGGACAGCGAAGTTCAACAGCATTACGGTGCTGCTGCACGGCTTCGTTGAGATCTCGGCCAATGTAGTCCCCGTGACGAAGGAGGACGACCGCATCCACAGGTACCAGATACCGGATAACGATTGCTTCGCCCACTTGGAAGTGCAGTTCAAGTTCCTCCGCCTCTCCGACCAAGTGGAGGGTGTCCTGGGCCAGACATACCGCCCAGGCTACCGGAGCCCTGTGAAGAGAGGCGTGCCAATGCCGATCATGGGCGGAGAAGATAAGTACAAGACGTCGTCGCTCCTCTCCGCAGACTGCAAGTATTGCATTTTCTCTGCACCCGATTCGTGGACCGCCGTGGCCGAGTCGATAGTGTTGGATCCTACTACGGCAGTGGTTGATTGAACCAGCTAGATCAGTCCAGGCCCTGGACTTGTTTGTCGTCGCTAGATATGTTTTTACACTAAATTTAGTACGATAATGGAATGGGACGAGGGTGAAATAGAATAAAGTAAGGAATAGAATGGAGAAATGAATGGGCATGGAATAGGAGTTGGATTATTCTGGTGTTTAATTGTTCTGAATGCATGAGATATAAAGTATATGGTGATTCCCTTTCTTGTATTTGGAAAACTTTGGAATGGAAAGAAATATAGTATTGGATTGTCTAAAATGTCCTCAATATATGAAATGTGTGCAGGAAAAATCAAGTATCATGCTCCAACCCAACTAGATGACTGAAGTACCAAAGTGTGCCACCATATTCCCTCGCCACCGCCACCTTCTCCGTCCTGCCGCTTGACCCTCGCCGCTCATTGTCGTCTTAGCCCTGGCTGTTTATCTCTCTTCCCCTCCTAAGGTTGGGTACCCCTCTCTCTTCGTCCTCTGCGACTCCTCTCCCCCTCTCTCTCTAATGCGACATGAAGGTCGTGGCGTCTATGGTGAAGAAATGAGGTTGCTGCTAGCGGTTGGAGGGAACCGGCGATGGTGCGATAAAGGTCGTACTGCATCTCCTGAGTTTGACCCTATTCCATCTCTCTCCCGGGCCAGTCTTGCCGGAACCCGGGTCCCCATGGATCGGGTCCATACAAGGAATTTCTCTCTCTCTCACACACACACATTCCGCCATTCCGGCACATGGCCGAAGGACCTTGGTCAAAGTAGCAGAACGAACGACGAACATTACAATTTGGCCATCTAACGTAGAGATCTAATAATTCTGATTAAAACTAAGAATAGCATAGCCTTCAGACTTTCAGAGAACTCTTAGGATGATTGGAATTTCTTGGCGATGCTTTTATCTCTTTCTTCACCCCCAGGTACTCGTTCATGTCTCTGTCAGACTTCCTCTAGAGATGGAAGGCATTCTTGGGCTTCTTTATTCCAAACATATAAGCTCACTCCATCTCAAACTCTACGCCTTACCAGGTCTCATGGGTTCTCATATTTGTCAATCGTCTCACGTTTTCTTCATCAATTCACTGGAGAGAGAGAGAGAGAGAACAATTTTAAGTTGCTCGAATGGGAGCACTGAATTTGACTATCCAGGTTCAGAATGTTGATCCAACCGTGACCACTGCAGAGTTGGAGGCATATTTCTCGTACTGCGGGACTGTGGACAAGATCCAGCTCCAGAGGCAAGGAAAAAACTTCAATTACAGACTGGCTTTTCAAGATTTTGCCCAGACCTTACTCCTTTTGATGATACCAATGGTTCGATTAATTAGTTATGATGACGGCACAGGAATAAGGACGAGTCCCAATCGGCGCTGGTGACTTTCAGGCAGCCGTTTGCGTTCCGGACTGCTCTTCTTCTCGATGTAAGGAAATAAATGAGTTTAAGGGTTTGATTCAACTTACACGATCTCATGCACTTCAGGCTTGTTTTCCTGGAGATAGTATTTGTTTGTGTCGCTTATTTAAATAAATGAGAATGGCATTGAACTTCTCTATTGTTTAATCTCTCTGGCTTACAGCTGCTGAGAATGCAGAGTACTTGTGGATTACCTGTTTCATTTGATGTTTTCTTCTGCTTCATTCGGAGTCTCTTGGTCTATTTTGTCTCTGATTATGAGACGTTACCCGAATTGATGGTAGTGTATCTCTAGAAATTGGTCTGGATGAATGCTTCTAAGAAATGGTTTGATACATTTCACGTCTTTATCAGCTCTGGAATGCTTTTTTAGGCTAAATTATATATACTCCAAAGTGTTCTAAAGCAGCTTCTCTTATCTGCAGAATGCACTAGTTGGCAGGCAACCGATTCGGGTGTCGCCATCAAAGGATTCAACAAATGATCTTCCTTCAATTAAGTTGGAGAGTGACACCAAGGTCTCTCTCTCTGTCGCCCCTGCTCTCTCTTGTGTGGCATCACGTACATCATCTGCATACAAGCATTTCTAAACTTCATCCGTTCCTGTGCTCTCTTCAATGAGTTCAATCGGTAGTTCGTTCCTGGTTAATCCTCATTCGAGCCCAGAAAATGGATGTTCATTTGAGATCGCCCTCGATTTTTCATGAATCTGGATCTAGGCTACAGATCAATGCCATTTTTCTTGTCCTGACTGTCTTGTTAATAATTCACAGTTGAATCCCTTCTTGCCTGGCCATAGGAACTCTAATAGATTCACCTAGTCAACTCAAAGAACATCTGGGGAAAATAAAAGGTTAATAGTTAGGCTATTCTTTGGACAGAACCGAGAACTCTGGTTGAATCAGACCACAACGTTCCTCCAGGCAGAGGCAATTTGTACTACAACGCATTTGAGATGAATTCCTGCTACAGTTTTTCGAACCTGTGACTTCGTTGCATGTTGATTACTTTCTCAGTTGCACTTCCCCAATCATCCTTATAATTTCATCGAGTTACAGGATGATCAGGAGCACGCTCGGCTCGTTCCAGGCGTTCTTCGTCCCAATGAAGCCGTGACACCAGGAGGCGCCACCAACATATTGGACAGGACCAGGGACAAGTTGGAGGAGAGGTACAAGTTGTCCGAGAAAGGCCGACTGGTGGTCGACCAGACACGCTCGGCGATTCACACCGCCGAAAAGGCGGCAGAATGCTTCAGATCTTTGCTGGCAAGCAATCCCTACGTTGCCGCTGGTCTGGTGTTCCTATCCGGGGCGCTTTATAAGGCTGCAATGTACGCATCTCAAGTGTCGGCTCGGAAAAAAAATTGACCCTTCAAAACTCCAAGACCCAGAAATTTACACCCATGACATAATACTATAATGTCGTCCTTGTACAGCACTCGTCAGATTTGTTGAAACATCTGATGAATGTAAACTTCTCTGATTCAATTATAAAGTTTAAGATCGAGTACTGATCTGCAAAGTGTCCAGATTTGTTGCGTTTCGTTCTGAGATCAGGTTTCCAGCAGATCATGGCTATGCCGCCGCGTTCGGACTCAACTAGATTTACTCGGCCGGCATAAGTTGCCAGGGCGATACTCTTCTTATCCGGCGTGTGGCTTCCTCTACTTCTACCCTCCTCTGTCATTCTAGAGGTCTGTCAAGACGAGCAGTATCTTTTTTTGAGCATCTTACCTGAGTAATCCCTCCATGCCCTCATCGAGCCGGATATATGCCTAGCTTTTCCACAAACCACACGTCCATTGGAGCAGGTTCTATTCCGATATCATATGTAACGACTTGATTCGATTCACATGGGCTTAGCTCCCGAAAGGAGTATCTCGAGCAATCACACAAAGCGGTTACAATTTCGGGATGGTTGTTGATTTATGAAATTAACGCGAGACTTGGAACGTTGCTCCACCGATTATGTACGCAACCTGATTGGCCAAACGCAGCAATCTGTTGATGATGTGAGTCACGACCCCATGGAAAGATTGAGGCATACAATGGGGACCGGAATTTAACAATGGGGTCGTAATTAAGACTAGCTAATTACTGGCTATGTTTAATTTATTTTCTCATCGTGTTCTCTGTTTTTTTTTCTTTTTTTTGGAGGGGGGATAGCACAGGAGATATACTTCCTTTTCTTAAAAGGAAGCGCCATAAAAAGAAAAATACTTACTTAAAATGTAATTGAACTCCATATTAGGTCAATTACCAAATAAAAAAAAGAAAATGACATAAATAATCTCTAAATTTTGACCCAATATACAATGTGATTTTTGAAATGTAAATTTATTCGATGTGATCCCTTAAGTTTAATTCAATATGCAATGTTATCCTTGAACTGTTACTTTTTTTAATATCGTTCATAAATTTTTAGTACAAATTCAATTCAGTTCCTGAAATATATGAAAATGTTTAATATAGTTCTGTCCCTGAACTTGAATTAATCAAAACACTATATTAATATAGTTCAAGTATTATATAAAGTAAAAGTTCATGGATCACATTAAATATTAAAGTAAAATTTAAGAATTATATTAAATAAATTAAACATTTATGAATTAAATTACACGTTAAAATAAAGTTTAGCACTTACCTCTAAAACAAATCTGTCTGTCATCTCTTCTTTCTTAAAAGTACAGTTCCGATCTCTCTCCTTTCTCTCTGCCATCTCAGACTCGGTCTGTCCACAGTCTCGCCCTGTAAGTCTCTCTCTCTCTCTCTCTCTCTCTCTATCTCTCTGTTACCAAGTCTTGCAGTCGTTCTCGCTGTCCCAAATTTGATAGTCTCGGAGATGAGATAGTTTCCGAATCGAGCGACTCGAGTTTGTGAGCAGATTTGTCGGGTGTTTACCGTTTGGCGAAGTGTGTGGTTCCGCCTCGAGAGGCGGCAATGGCGACGGAATTTTCATGGGTTGTTCGTCTTTTGACGGGGGAAATCGACCCGGCAGTTGGGTCAGTGCAAATTGGGTTCTGCCTGAAACGTGAATGGGATTGGTCGATTGGAGCCGGTGTATGAACCTTCCGTCTCTTCGGATCTCGGTCAACGGTTGAATCTTGCTTCAAGTTTCTCATAGTTTCTGTCTCTCTCTCTGTGTCTGAGCAAACAGTCAAGCTTGAAAACGGTAGAGAGGTCAAGTGTTCTCGACTTGGGTCGTTTTCTGAACGCACTCTCCGGCACCCCGCCATTGACTTTCTCGGTTTGACGTCCGAATTGGCCTCTCTCTCTCTCTCTCTCTCTTACTTGTCGCCATCCATTTGTCCACCCTCTTCTCTGTTTCAATAGCTGTAGAATTGAAGTGTTACTCAAATGCAATGTGGTCGGATTAAGAATGACCATCGATCCGAAACTTAGCGCAAGCTTGCGTTCCGATCGATCTCCGATTGTTATAGTCATGCAGCAAAGAGAATTCAGCCTTCATTCCAGGGTTCGATTTCTTTGACGGATCAAGAAATGGAATTTATTACAGGGTTCCATTACCCGCTCCCACTCCAATGGTTCGAGCATACCCTTAAAATGCATGTTCTTCAAGATCCAAGCAATTGAGATCCTTCAAAACAGTATCTTTGTGATGTGGCGCATCTGTTTTCTGTTCACTGCATTTTCCATTGTCAACTATTGATTTGTTTTCGTTACACCTTGCTTTTGATGTCAAAGTTCAACAAATCGTGAATTTGCTACCCTTACGCAAGGTGTGGAAATTGTATACCTCAAGAGTGTTTTGTTACCAGCAACAAATTTTGGCAGTGTAGAACTTGCGTTTTAGGGCTGTACAATGTCACTGTAGTTATTGCACAGTTCAAGCACAGTGACTGTTAGTCCTGTGGGATCATACAGTGATTTTTTTTCGAACTTGTTAATGTTTTGGTTTTCAAAAAGTTTGGACGTAATGATTCTCGTTATTTCTATCAGGCAACTGCTCTCTAACTTACAAAGTCTTGCAGAGACACTCACAAAAGGAGTAAGAGGATCCTGGTTTGAGTCTCCACTTGTTAAGGCAGAAGCCAGAGAGAGCTGAAGAAAATGGAAGCCACTCAGAGTCCTCACCCTTATGTCCCCAGAGATCTAAAACTCCCTGGTTATGCGCCAGTTTTACTTTCACAATTAACTATCCTTGGTGTCTACGGCATTGCTTCGGTGCTTGTTGTTGCCATCATTTGGTTTATATCTGGTATGCTCATTCCTCTTCTAGATAAATATTCTATCTAAATGTTGCTTGAGCTCACAATTATTGATGCACCTAAAATAAGGTGAAGTTAAGGAATTTGGAAGAAGAGAAACTTACTAGGATTTGCTTCAGTTAGATCTTTCTTCCTCTGTGCTACAGGAGAAACCGCGATGCCTAGTCTATGTAGTTGTCTGAAACCCTTGTTCCTCATCAATTGATCCTTTTGGTTAGCAGTCCATTTTTCACTCTCTTGCAGAAATTTGGTCACCGAAGCACCTGTTCTATTTTCTTATTCCCCTCACATTCTGTTTGTTTTACTCTATTGAAGAAATTTGGTCACTGAAGCACCCTGTTCTATCGTCTTATATCCCTCACATTCTGTTTGTTTCTTCTTATGACAATTAAAAACTGACATATTTATCAGAAAATGTGCCCCCCTGCAGATAAACTAAAATAGCTGGTCTCAAAGCCTTTTTTTTTTCTTCCTTTTTTTGAAGGTTTGGTTTGGGAAGCAACATAATCTCTGGCTTGAGTGAATCTCGTTAATTTGTGTCCGTGCAAGACATAGAGTTTTGCATTAGCATTATTGGCAATTCGAGTTTACCATTGAATAGGATCACAATATCCTTCTAATTTGTCCCACTCTTCCTCATTTGTTTGGAAAAGCTGAAACATTTCATCATATTGATATTTCCATTTGTTGCAGGGCGATCACCCAAAAGGTCAACTGTCGATAGAATACTCATGTGTTGGTGGGCATTCACAGGCCTTACTCACATGATTCTAGAGGGTTATTTTGTTTTCTCACCAGAATTTTACAAGGATAAATCTGCCTTTTACCTGTCTGAAGTCTGTAAGTGATTTTCTGCCACTCTTGTTTCCTTCCTTGGTTGGCTCATCCAGCTTTTGGTGGACAGCAGCTGAAAAGATACAATTGACAGGGAAAGAATATAGCAAAGGTGACTCAAGATACGTAGGAAGGGATTCAGCGATTTTGGCTGTTGAAGGACTAACTGCTGTTTTAGAGGGTCCAGCGTGCCTCCTCGCAGTGTGAGAATTTTTCACTTGATAGAAAATCAATTCCATGATATTCGACCACATTAGAGTGTTTGTAGTTCCCATCCGTTGCCTAAAATCTCTGTATTCTGATGCCTCACAGTTATGCCATTGCAAAAGGAAAGTCGTATAGCTACATTCTCCAGTTCGCGATATCCTTGGGCCAGCTCTATGGAACTGCTGTGTATTTCATAACCGCTTTGCTGGAAGGTGATAACTTCGCTGTTAGCCCGTTGTATTACTATGCCTACTATGTTGTCATGAACTCCTTCTGGATCGTGATACCCACAGCCATATCCATTAGATGCTGGAAGAAAACATGCACAGCATTCAATAACCAGGGCCAGAAAAAAGTAAAAAGCCGCTGAGGCAGATCTTACTGCTTGTTACATGATCAATGTATCATTTATCTTTGGATTTTGTCCTGCTTGATTGCTTATTTATACTTTGCCATTGACTGATCATTAGCAATAACAAGCATATTTTGCGTTTCTCAACTTTTGGAAGGCAGTGATGGCTGAGTTGTTGAGGTAAAGCTTTTCCAAGTGACCATTGGGCTATTTGATCGATGACTTTGAATATGGCATTTTGATGTGGAATCGTTCGATTTGTTTGAAGCTTTAATCCCCTGTTATTTCCTTTACTAAGATGATGGAACTCATGGATAGCAAAAAGATGATGGAGTCATGCTATATATAGTACTACAATGAGAACTACCTCTAACCTTCTTAAACAAGGAAGATTTGGGTTCTCTGTGATTTTAAGCTATCCTGGGCAGACTGTTCTATGTGCTTCAAATTATTCCGACCGCCACTTATGGTGTTATCCCAGTTGAGAGAAGCCATTTCCCTCTGGATCAAACTTGAGAAGCAAGAGGCTAGCTATGCCTAACTAAGTCAGCAATCTGGAAAGTGTTATTCTTAGATGGCTCTTATTTTCGCGAATATCTTCCTTCCCTCGCTTTGTTTGGATTGGATAGGAGGATTTAGTCTGGTGAGCAAAAACTGGTTCCGACCGCTATATCCCGGAAGGGAAAAAGAGAGAGTATTCTCGTTTTTGCGTCGGCGTTTTGCCAATGATAATTTAATCCTTCTAGAAAGTCAACTGCTCTGTAGCCAACACTTAGCCTCCTTTTAGATTAGTGATTTCCAGATTTCCCAAAGATACTTGATAAGAATTGTATCCTAGTGACATAAGAGCAATAATAGCAACCCCACAACATGTTTCCTTATGCATGCACATGAAAATCATCTGTCGCAAACACCGGGTTATTGGCTTTTATTGTGATTAGTGGTGAATTCTCACAAGTCATGAGATTGCTGATTGATTAATCAGACTCTTTTAGTATATATTATGCCATCAGTTGTGCCCTGGACCAAATCTGAGAGAGATCATGACTCTTCATCAGCATTGTTAGGGTTGACTAATCAGCTATAATCTGCCGGTGTGGGGAAGTCACGGGGTAGAAGTGTGCATTCTTCAACACTCCTGGCTCTATCGGTCTTAATAATGTTCAGAAGGCACCCCTTGTACTTTCTTATCTTATTCGGTCTTAGAAAGCGTTTGCAATTGGAGGAATCGCACACCTACTCTGTAGAAAAATTGAGCTGCCAAAGCTTGGTCGACAAGTCAATCCTGAGGGGGCATTACATGCACGAAGGCAGCTTTCCCGTTGCTTCCTGGAAATGAGGCCACTGATGGTTACGTCCGCTTGCTCTTGGCCGGTGGTCCATTTATAGAAACATATATCATACAATGATGTCACGGTTTCTTATCGGATATGTTTGTTTGACGTCTTTGCTTGGATCGTGCAATACCGCTCCGTAAGTACACGTTAGTTATACTTGCAACACGACACGACACGCCCGGCTCATGTTTCGGATTAATTGGTTGCTGTTCTTTCTTCGGTTGGCCCATAGGTTGTTGTTATCGCTGTTCTTCTTCTTCTTGTCTGTTCGCATTTCGGATTCACTGGTTTTGGGAAGTCAATATGACCCCCTAGAGAGTCCAAAGATCAAGATGGGAGAGACCCTTACCCTTTTGACTTGTTCCTCCCCCTTCACACTCTCTTCAGGTATAAAAAATAATAATACTTGCATTTTCACAGTCCGAAGTATTTGGATTCGTTCTTCTTGCATCCGAATTTTTCCGTACATGAATGGTGTACCAATAACTCTTTTTTTTTGTACCAATAGTGAGCGAGATAGTTTAGATGCTGGAATATTCCATCTCAAAAGTTTAAGGTCAAGAGAGGCAGCATGTGTATAACGTACATGTACTTTAACACCCCTCTTATGTGCGAGTCTAGTTAGGAATTGCGCGTGTAATTTGACTAATGGAGGGGTTACGCACGCGAAATAAGCTGGATCTTAACCTAATTATGATTAGGGATGAGCGATTTCAGGTTCCTTATAAGTTTCACCTGAAATTTGGAACCTACCCTCGGGTACAAGTTTCCCATTTTTTAGAACTTAAAACCTACCCGTCCAAACCTGGAACCTATAACATACCTTGTCACAGGTTCCAGGATAGGTTCTAGGGTCTAACAGATTCCTTTTTTTTTTTAATTGCATTTTTAGTTAAACAAAATAAAAATGAACGCAACAATACTAAACAAGCTTGTCATTCATCAAAAAGAATACAAAAGACTAGTTTCCTAGATTACGGTTCAAATAAATATAACTAAAATGAGAAGTCATTGCGTGAATCGATACTAAGGGTGAGTAGTTCCATATTCCGTATAGATTTCACCCATGATAATAGATTCTTTATTTTTTGGAACTTGGAACCTAGCCTATCACAGGTTCGAGAGTTGATTCCAGAGTCTACTCAGGTTTCACCTGTATTATTAAATGAACAATTGCAATGAATCATCACCTTTAATAAGCACCACTTATTGCTATGATCCACTAACCACAACTTATATTTAGATACACGAATAATATGAAACATTAATAAGTTATAAATTGAAAGCTCCGACTAGTGGTTTCAGATCATATATTCATCATTTAATGTTATGAAACACCTGAAGATCACGAGAAGATAGGTTCAGGTTCTACCAACCTAGAACCTGGAACCTAGAACCTAGAACCTACCCTGCATACCTTGTAATCTGGAACCTATAGGTTCCCATTGGTCAGGTTCTCTGTTCTGGAATCATGCTCATCGCTAATTATGATACCATGTTAGAATACTTAATCCAACAGCTTACGGTATCGTAAAAAGATCCTCCACCAGTGTCTAAGATTTGGGGAATATCCTAATGTCCTAAGATTTACATAAAAATGCAAAATAATAAATCTTGGGTTTGGCGTTCTTGCGAAGCTCCATATTCCGCGGTTTCACACGCACGCGCACGCGGCGGGGGCCATCCTTGATCAAATAGTTTGATCCACCCAACCGCGTTCCGCCTTCTCTTATATATCTCCTGCAAATTTTCTCCCTCACCCAAAAGGAGAAGCTTCCCAGCTCCCATCCTTGAACGTTCCTTCCACCCTCTGCGAAGCCGAGCCGAAACCGCGAGAAGAGAGATGGAAATGGCGTACACACGCCTTGAACTGCAGGTGATCTCATGCGAGGAACTCAGGGCCTTCAACTTCTTCCAGAAGCTCTCGGTCTTCGTGACCGTGTCCATCGTCCCCGGCGGTGACGACCCGAAGAAGCAGCTTCGGCCGGCCCTCCAGCAGCAGCGCCACAGGACGCCGACCAGCAAGGGCGGCCATCGCAACCCGGAGTGGAAACACGACATGGTGTTCGACCTCTCGGACGTCTCGGCCCGGGACTATTCGGACCTTTCTCTCAAGTTCGATGTGCGGCTTCCCAGCGTCGTGGGCAGCCGCTCGATCGGGGAAGTCCGCGCCTCGCTTCAGGATTTGGTCGACGATTTCAACGGGGCTGTCCAGCAGCGAGGCTACCACGTGAAGAACGACGATGGAAAACGCATCGGGGTCTTGAATTTTACGTACAAGTTGTGTGGGAAGAGCGGCGAGGTCGGCAACGAATTGGCTCGGGTGGAGCCTTCGTCCAGAGCTCCGGTCCCGGGTCATAGTGCTACAAACTTCGCTTATTTGGAGTGGCCTGACTTGCCGCCCCAGACGCTGATCCGAGGGATATTGAACTATCAAACGTATTCTTCATCGCTGTTGCTACAAACAACGAACAAGAAGGACGTGAGCAAAGCTTCCACGGGCTACGGTTATCGGCAATCGTGGTACTCCATGGTCGGACCACCGCAGGGGTCATGCTGATCGGATGGCGTCACTACCCATTCATCGGGGCATCCCCGCAGCCATCGAACTTCCCCCCTCATCTGCAGCCGCAAATTACACGGTTCACGATCAGCTTAGAGCTTGGATCAGCAAGCATTGACTTTGTTATGTGATGTTTCGTCAGTCTTAGACTCTTTAGAATACTGTGAATGGCAAATAAATGTATCTGGGTACTCTCATCTGTACCCAAGGTGACCGTGGTTTCACCATAAACATCATCTCAGCTTATGTTCCACCTTCCTGTACACACTGGTCATATTATATAGTGCAGAAGATGTTCTTAAAGATTCAATCTTTGTCACGAACTTTTCGAGCATCCCGTAAGTCCTGCAAGCACACGAGCCATGGCTCCATCACATGCATCTGGAATTCATCAGTCAAGCAAAATTTGAGCGAGCATTCAACCTCTCTTTCGCCAATCCAACCTCAGTCAACTGGTCAAAGCTGGAATCTTTCTCTCGTGAAGAGATGAGAGCGTGGTTGGGTTGGGTTGGGTGGGGGTGTGGCATCAACATCAGCTTATCTCATCGCTGGGGCACTACTGGGTCCTCATGATTGGAGCACAGGCAAATCTTTCCGAAACATTGGAATAAAGAAGAGGTTTCGGGGCAGCTTCCTTTTGAAAATGCACGCCTTCGGCGAGTCCCTTTTTGCCTCATTGGTTGAGCTGATTGTGCTGATGTTGGTATGCCAAGATGGAAAGCTTGACGTTGAAAATTCAGAATGGAAAGGACAGTTTCGCACGACCAGAGTAGATCTGCGGTCGGACGTGGCCCGGCGAACTCCGGGGTCGGGGGGGCGGGGCCTAGCCTAGGCTCGCGAGAATTTCAAGAGATAGAGAGTGAGCATGGGGCCGCGGGACGCCGAGCCGCCGCGGCGATGTGTTGTCGCGGCTTGCAAGGGCAGGGGCGGCTGCGGCGGCGGCGGCTTTAACGAGCGCTTCAACGACGACGGCGACCGATGATGGCGGCGGCCGAGCTGCGGCGGTGGAAAGGTGTGGCAGTGAGAAGGGGGGGGGGGGGAAGGAAGGAGAGAGAAAATGGTCTGTATTGGTTGTTATTGTTCACAAAATGAGGGGCATTTTGGTAAAAATGCATTTTCTTAACGCGCTTTTGTCTAGTTTCTTATTAAGTTGTTTTGGGCAGCAATATTTATTTATTTCTTTCTTATAATGAATGTTTTTAGCATTAAAATTTATCATGCCAGCATGCCACAATAGATAATGAACATAATTAATGGCAAAATGATTTGATGGCACAATTCGTGTTGCTCAAAAGGCTTTATTGCATGAATCGAAAATTTAAGAGCTCAATTGCACAGTCAATATAAATTTTTAGGATTGAAAATGGAGTTAACGCATCTTAAAAAAAGGCTAGTTTTTTTAATTCCCTCCAACCATTGCACTACACTACACACATTGAGATCATCCGCTTTGACTTGACACTTGTAATTGGAAGATACCCATAAGTATTCGTTACCCATCGAAAGACTTACGGACGGAGGAAAATATAACCCAATCAAAAGCCGAACCGACAAATCGAGGTCTTCATTACACCCGATACCAAACCTCTGCGGCGGCGATCGTGCTCATTCGATTCAATAGAAAAAAGTCACCCTATGTTGGCGATGTATCACCTCAAAACTTATTTATCTTTCGATCGTACCGGTATATTCATAAGACGCGGGCAAGGAACATATAACAAATACTTGATTTTCATAGTCAACGATATCCCACAGAAGAGTCATAAGTCCGATCCCTCGATTAGGTGTTTAGATCTCTCGAATAGATTTTCTCAACGACTCCCAAGAGAATTTGATGAAAGACTTCGATTGGGTCATTTAAACGATGTGTGTTTGACTTTATTGGGAATATTAGGAAAACATTTGGGTGGAAAGTTCATTCCACCTATGGAATGTTCATAATGGGGATTAAATCGAACGTCGAAGTGGATCTAATTTCTCATTTTAGTTCTTGACAGTATGTGTTTTTTTTTTTGGTCAATACAATATGTGTTGATCAAGCACAATAAGTAAAAACTGACCTAATTGTCAATACTCTAGTAGCTCTATGACATTGTACTCATTAAGGTACCCTTCCGGGGTCCCTTTCCCCGGATTTTGCCACGTGTCCAACCTTTTTTTGGTACATCCTTACCCCCACACTTAACTATATTTCCCTACAAAAGCAAAATCAAATCTCCCCTCCCAAATCCATTTGTCTCTACCCGGCCAGCCGGCACTAGGCCTTGGACCACGGCAGCTGCCGGCGATGGTGCTCGTCGTGCAGACGGTGAACCCCATTCCCTCGACACCACCGAGGCCGCCCCGTCGACAACCATTGTTCTGAGGAACGACTCAAGGACACACACTCTTTCTCTCTCTCTCTTCCGTTATTTCCTTCATCTCTGTGGCCGCGGAGCTCGACGGTGCCGACATTAAGATCGCCGCCTATAGCAAAGCCCGGTGCTGCATTCGTCGAGTGCTCGTAGACGGCGACAAGCCTTCGTATTTAGAGGTCTCGAGTAGCCTCTGTCGTCTTCGAGGCCTTAGGAGATGATGCCGAGGCCTTAACGTCGATGGAGGGTAAGCCGGTTTCGGCAGCGAAGGCTTGGGGTGGATTTGCACTTGAATCACGATTACTTTTATAACGCAATTATGGGATCACAGCCAAAAAAAAACAAATGCAATCCACATGCAGGTAACGTTTGTGTCTTAAGACTCTTAACCATATAGTTGTTTTTTTTTTTGTGTTGGAAACAGAATTTTATTGAATCCGAACTCTCAATTTCCACAATTCACTATCGGAGCATCAAAATAGAGTAAAAATCCCAAAGGGATTTGGGGGGTTTGTTACTTTGTGGCATTTGTAGATTTATTTTAGGAGGTGGTCAATTTAGAGGTCGCTCTCTATGTTTTGTGTCGTGTTAATTTCCTATTCCACGTCACTTTTATTTTTTTGGTTCGGTCGATTATAGCCCTCGTCGGCACTTCGATACTTTATTTTAATCTCAAGGATCAATATGGATAACCGCGAATTAAAGACCCAATTCGCTAAGAAAAAATAAATTCAGAAACCATTGGCATTAACAAAAAAGGTTCAAAGGCCAGTTGTGATTTCATCTCTAATTAATTTTTTAGGAAATACAATTATACGTCGAATCACATTCTATTTGGAACAATATTAAAACTTAAGAACACATTTTTTATTTCAATTTCAAATATATATAGATCGACATTTAATTTCATAATCTGTAGAAATTAAAGTGTTTGTGTGTGTATATATATATTTATTATTAATTTTTGGTCAGCTATATATATATATATGTATATTCACTTTTCTGAGGGGGAAGGTGAAAAGGATGATCTATTTGTTTTTGTCAAATTAGGAATGACAATCAAGTCGGAGAGATTCGCCTTGCAGAAGAAGAGAAGTCCCTCAACTGAAGAGAAGGACTCCCCATCAATGAACGGCGGCGGCGGCGGCGGCGGCGGCGACGCCGCGGCGAAGCTCGAAAAAGACGACGTGATCGCCAGGCTCAAGGACGATGGCGATTTCGATCGCCTCCGCCTCAAGCTGATCCGCAAGCTCAAGGACAACGTATCTCTCTCTCTTTCTCTCTCTCTCTCTCTCTTCCGTGGGCACGTGTGTTTTGAATCCAGTCAGTTCTTGGGTTGCCGAATGTGGAGGCTTCACGAGCTTCGTAGTCGTGGGTATGAAGCTGTTTCGGGGGACGAAGCACTGTTAATGTTCTTAGCTATTGTTCGTGTTGTGTGTGATTCTTGCCATGATGAATGTTTAGTCTCGGGCTATGCCTGTTCTGCTGATTCGAGGATGTGATTAGCTTAAAAAGAAGTTAATTTAATGATGTGGCATGGGATTACGGGGAATGGGAAATTGGGTATTAGTTTTTATCTGGGATTTTGCTGCTTTTGTGCTCTAAGCTTTGGTAGTTCTAGTCCATGGAATGTTTGGTTAAATATAAAGCAAGCACGTGATGTTGCTTGCAATGTTCTGTTTTGGGCTAGTAAAAACAGCTCGATAGCATAAAGAAAGAGAGAGTACGTGTTTATGGAGGTTTAGCATTCCGCTAGGCACAAAGGATAGGAAATAATGGGGTCAGGTCGGGTCGGGTCGGGGGGTTTCACATCCCAATCCGATGTACACAATCCCCTTTTGGTGTGGGTTGCAACGCGATTCGCAGCTTTATCTGTGGATCTTCTCGGGAAATGCCGCGGGAGGTCTTCGGAATTACGCCTTTAGATGCTGAATTATGCTGGTTTGACTTTCCCGTTGTCGCCTTCCTCATTATCCTTCGAGCCCTTGAAGAAGAGTGAGGAATCCATCTCAACCACAAGCTAACTCTAGAGCTTCTAACACTGCCATTGTCTCTACCTCCTCGGGACAATTCGTTTTGCCAACCTCGTTCCTTCCTACTATCCATAGCCCAAGGTCCATTAATATCTATCACCCTATTCCATCTTGACTTGACTTCCAACTTTGACTTATTCAGTTGGAAGTGATTCTTGTTCCACCGACTGAGCATCCGTGTTCATTCTCACTGACTACTTCTTAAGTCTCACAGCTCCTCCCGTGCTTGCTAAATTCTCCTTATCATTCCGTCAGGTATAGGTTGTTGCTGTCCAAAAGGAGCTCCACTTCTTCGTTTCCATATAGATTACACTGTATAAACCAGCTTTCTCAATAACTCCTCTCTTGCTTTCCTTGTAAATTGGTTCCTTTGTAAAGGTTGGGCCACTCATCTATCATTTGAAGAGACTATAGCTGGATATATTTTCAACACCTATTGCGAATCGTACACATGGAACGCAATTGTGTGGCAAAAACATATGCTCAGTAGTCTGGTTGTTCTCAAAAAGGGCATTGCTGACCGTCAGTTATAATTTTCTATTACTGATGTCTCCTTGTGGCTATGGCACTAATGAAGACTCTCCAATGGAAATGTTCTTTGGGTGTTTGCCTTGGTTGCCGCAAAGAAAAAGAGTGAATCATCTGCAAATAAAATGTCTGAGAGGATAGCCTATCGTAAGCTTTGTTCATGTCTAATTGTAGAGCACATTTTTCCTTTTTACCTCTCTTCCTAAGTCTCAACTAATGGAAAGCCTCATGCACAATGATAATGTTGTCTTGGATAAGCCTTCTTTAGATGAAAGCACTTTGATAAGGGGATATCAATTCAGACGGGATTGGTTTATCTATTTGCAAGAATTTGGAAACTATTTTATACAAGAAGCACAAGCTGATGGCTGTAAATTAAATAGGTTCTCAGGATGAGGGTCTAGAAGGACCAGATATTTACCCTGTTGTTGGATAAATGTGTGAATGCGAAATATAAGTCTTTGAATCATTGTAAGGTAGAAGGCAGTTTCCCTTTTATTTGTCATCGGGCATCTTCTTGCTATATATTTGGTAGCATTCTGTCTTGGAGGTGCCCCGATTGGTGACTAAATCACCTCAACCATATGCATGCAATAGAAAGAAGTGGAAGAAGAAGAAAACTGACGAGTGTAGATATTATGGAAACCTTGATCTTGATATAAGCTTTCAAAATCATGGATTGACTCTGAGTTTGAATCAAAGTTAGTTTGTTGGTTAGTCCACATCACAATGTGCATATTATCCACTAATTGTCACATCAGCGCTAGTACAGATATTACTTTATGATCTTACCATTTTTAGATGACGCAATATAGACCTTTGATTTTGTAATTCCATGCCAACTAAGTTTACCCTGCATGTAGCGCACACACATGTAGAATGTGTGTACCAGTACCCTGTACATGTTTCAGTAAACTGTCTCCATGCCTAACCTCATTCTAGGTATCTACCCTTCAAACAAGGTCTTCTTTTCATTCTATCATACTAGAAAATGCTTCATTATGTTCCTCAAATATCTGCTTTGTTTGGATGGGAATCTTTTCAGGCAACATTTGCTCTAATTTTACCAAAAAATCGAACCGTTAACCCTTTTGTGGATTTGTTTCCATCTTCATATAGATATTCTCTAATCAAATACTATTCTTATAATGTTGACTATGAAATGTACTGTAGGAGGAACTGCGTTACAAGATCATCGCAGTGGTGAAGCAGTCAGCTGCACTTAATCGTCCAGGTGCTGAGAGTTTGAAGCCCAGGCAGCTTTCTGATGCTATATATGAAGAGGTGGGGTAAGTAATTAAGCTCTTGGATTTCCATCTGATGCTTATATCTTGTGAAATCCTGCCAATTGTTTGGAAATGCTTATCCTGTTTCGTTGCCTATAATTAAACGCGATGTTTCTTCTATAGTAACTTATATTTGGTATGTACAAGGGAGGTGGATGGCTACCTGACATATGGGGCACAATTTTTTTATGGACATAAATATACTATGACCGAGACATTTGGAAGTAACATGTATCGTCATGCATTTGTATCTCTGATCAATCATTAAGGAGTGTACTTGTTACGTGCTTGCTTCCAGAAGGGCAATGTTTTTGCAGGTTCTGAGAACTGCATGAACCTTGGTTAGGGAATTTTCTTCCCAATTACTAGGCAAATTTTTTGCTTATATGTGTAAAATCGTTGAAACTATTCTGAGCTTGATTATGCAGTATTTTCTTTCTTAATTTCAGAAGCAAAGTTATGGGCCAGATTTCTGAAAGCCTATGGGAGATAATTAGATCAGCTGATGGCATGAAAAGTGAAATTGAAGATACAGTGCAATCAATGTGTAGTAAGTTATTGAACCCTTTTGGTAAAGACATGCAGACACCGTTGCAGAGAATGGACTACAGCAGATCCTATGCAGTACCATCCAGTGAGACCAATGCAGTATTCAATAATGAACAGAAGAAACCCCTGGGTTTCTGTCTGCCCGGTACTAGTCAGAAAGATGGAGAACAACACAACGAGAGAGTGCAGGTACCAGTTTCTCATGAAAAAGGGTTTTCTAAAGGTTTGAGGGATGAGCAGGACCCTTCGCGAGAAGTTTTGATTCCAGACGATGTTGATATGGGTATCCCACCAGGTTTTTCTGCCGATGTCGAAAACCGGAAGCTCTCAAATGATACTGAGGAAGATCCTGAACTGCCTCCTGGTTTTGGTTGATTAAATGCTCTAAGAAGTGAAGTACCGACAATGATGTCTTAGATGATCTCTAAACGTCCATCTTGAATAACCAAGGGCAATGATCTGATGTTTTGAGGAGGCACAACTTCCACTATCCACAGTAGAGTTCAGAAATGAATGAATCCAATACTCTTTGATCATGACTCTGTTGAGTTCTTCAGCTAGAATACATTCTGTCCTTATTTTTGATCATTGAAAGTTGCTAGCAAGAACAGATAAATGATGATAAAAATTGCCAATTTGAAGTGCAAACATTAGCTAGATAATCCATATCATTACCAATAGATGATTGATTCAGCGGTAGTAATCGTTGCTTTCCCTCACTCACCAATTCAAAGGGTATATCATGCTGAGATAGAATGAAGTCCGACCAGTAGAGACCAGACAATGAATAAACTGCCGAGAAGCAGTAGGATTTTTTCACACAGACAAAGGGAAATTGGATAACGATATAGGTTATTTTACATCACAGGATAAGATCCATCCATGGCAAACTCACTCCCACGCCTGCATCAATTGAGGTGATGTTACTGCCACCGTCTATTGGAAATGATCAAGTCACAACCAATAATGGCAAGATGCCAATGCTAGAGGACGATCCGCTCTTACTTGCTATCAAGAAGGCTGAAATTATAAGTGCATTGATGACAGAAAATGATAAACGCCTTGCGAAGATTGAGGAAATGTTGAAGTAGTTACAGGGCCCGCAGCATTCTCTCCCACTTGATCTATCAGTGTACAAAATGGTCAAGGTGCCAGAAAAGTTCAAAATGCCAGAATTCGAGAAATATAATGACATCTCTTGCCCTAAGCACCACTTACACATGTGCCATGTATGAATGATCCAGTATGTTGATAATGAGCCCCTCATGATCCAGACTTTTCAAGCAAGCTTAATAGGGCCGGCGTTGACATGGTATATGTCAAAGGATGTAGACGCTTTCAAATTTTGGGATGATGTCGCCGATGCATTTGCCAAGCAGTGCCAATTCAACCTCGACATCACTTTTTCTCGTGACGACCATGAACGCACTGAGAAAAAGAAGAGTGAATCGTTCAAAGAATATGCCACGCCCAGGTCACCCCAGAACTTTCTGACGATGAACAAATTAAGCTATCCGCCTGATTGGTGCCACTGCTGAGTCACTTAATTGGCTTGTCCTAGTAGGCGAACGAATTGAGACGGTATTGCGCAGTGGGTGGTTCACTGAACCCGCCTCCACAAGCAAGAGACTCAGCACGAAAAAGGAAAACGAGGTCCTGGCATACGTGAATTTCACATACACCTAGAATGCTCATCCTCCCCTGACAATTCAGATGAGCGGTGGACAGCAGTCGACCTCAGGCCAGTAGTCGCCCCAAAGGCGAAGTAACAAAAAGCAGTTCACGTTACTCTCTTGGCCTATGTCTCAGATCCAGCCCGTTCTCCTGGGAAAGAGGTTGCTTGCTAAAGAGCTAAAGCGTGAAAATCCTGAGCGTTTTCCCAATTACGATCCCTCCAAGGCATACAACTATCATTTGGGTGAAATGAGACATTCCGTCAATGACTGTGTTGTCTTGAAGAATAAGGTCCAGAAATTGTTGGATGCAAAGATGTTTTCATTTCGCAACAAACCACCCAATCAGCCAGGAGGCGCGAATGTCGTCATTGAGTAAACTGAAGACTCAATTTTTCTCCCTTAGAATATAAGCATATTTAATAGTTTGAACCCTCCCTTTTTTTTTTTGGTCGAATGAACCCTCTCTTATGTGGGAGCTTTTTTTGCTTTCTAAAGTCTCATTTGTTTTCTAGGATTCCCAATTTTCTGAATTTTCAATTATGCTTGGAATTTTAGTATTGTAATTTCCATTCCAACAAATGTAATTTGCTTGAATTATTCAAAAGAATTACAAATATTTTGTTTTGAGGGCATAAGGAAGTATCCCAAACCGGCCCGTTGATGAAATCCAGCCATGTAAAGGAAAATGTTATGAGGCCTGGCTTCCTCATTTCTAAACTTTTGAAATAAAACGAACGTTTTTATCATTTTTTAAAAGGATCAAAGAAAGAATCGTGGTAGAAAGACGTGCATGCTCATAGTCCTGTTTGTTTTTCTAACTCGCTCAATTCGTGTCTCAGAGCATACTCCCCCTTGATTTGTTATTACAAAGGGGCATTTGAAAATGACACAAACTAAAAAGCACATCAGACCCTGGTGATGATAGCAGACCGACTAATCCGATAGGGGCAGTTTGAGCGAAGATCATCCAAACTTCGAGATAAAATGTGGGGCAAATATCAGTCCCAGCGAGTTAGAGAGAGTGCTGAGCATTCTTTGACTCCATGATGAGCGGAACATCATTTCGTACAAGAAAGTCGGGGGCAAACCAAGAAGAGATTACCCATTCTGAAAGAGAAATGTATGTCTTATTCCTTAACAAATTTTGGAAATGACATTCCATCCCTTTTCTTTTACAGGTGATGACTGAGGTGCATGCTAGACCCTAATGTGCTAGCGAGCTGGATAGAGCACAAATGTTGGGACCTCTCGAACTAAACTAAAAGGATGTATCTTTTTCCTTATCCTAGCCCAAGTTTGTGCAAACAACTAATGTATTTTTTTCCTTAAAATGCAGGGATTGTTCAATTGGGAGGGTAGACTAGGGGGCATGCAATCCCCCAGTCCATAAAAAAAGGGTATATTTCGTTCCTAAAGTTCATCCACTTTAGTAAAAAAATAACATATCATTTTCTTTTATATAGGATGAATTTGAGTAAAGGTCTAGTACAAGCAACTGGAAAGGACTTTGCATATGACAAAATGATGCCGATGCTAATCATGACAATCATTGGAGTCTCGACGGTAGTCATCGAAAAGGATTACGATGCCTATATCAGTCGAAGACATTTAAAGTCAAGATTAGCTTTGCTGCGAAGATTCCCATGTAAGTAATTGCACATGCCCTATGCAGTCAGGAGTCAGATGATTCCCGAGAAGCCCTCAAAGTGCCAGAACCGCATTGACACAACATGCATCGAGAATAGGACTGCCTAGTTGGGAGCACCCTTAGCTATAGAGGATTTCATTGGAGATTCAAGATCAATCAGGAAGGAGTATAAAAAAAAAAGACTCTGCTAGCTTTGAAGACAAAATGGAGGAAGGGTAATTTGGTATCGTTCTTATTTTACCCTCGGTTGTTTCATCACTAACATTAGCTCATGCTATTCTCAACAGAAATTGTCGGCATTCAAGAAAGCCCAAGGAATTGTCAATTTAAACTCAAATGAAGGGAGACATGAATGGTAATAAGGTATCATTCCCAATTTATGTCCCTCAAAGCGCCATTCATTAATATGGTCTCTTTTATTGCCTTGCAGGTTTGCCTCACCACCGCTGCAGCACAGGTAAGTATTTCTTTCCCTAAAACTCTTTTTATAAGAGTAGAAAGAATCGAACAAAGAGGAGCAATTTAAAGCAAATAAATGCTTAATCCTCCCCCAAATGCATTGCATGTCTTTTGGAAAGGAATTTTGCACAGTAATTTTACTTGTTTAATTCACTAATTGCATGTGAAAATTTTGACAATTCGACGAATGGTGTCGAACTGCTCGAGTATGCCGAACAAGATGTGTTGGGATGACGGAAGGCAATCCTTAGGCCATACACATTCCCCTATATTGATCACTGGTAAGACGAGTGAAAAGATTCCATGTCTGCAAGGTAAATAGATTTCTTGCATAAGGTACGATAGTCAAAATGGTGAGAGGCAGTTCATTTCTTTGCCCCATACACTATCATTGATCATTTGCTTAACCATTTTGAGCCCATACACCTGGAGGTTCCTTTTAAATTACCCCTGTCAAGAATCACCCCACACTGGGGCAACTAGAGGTAAGTCGGCAGCACGAAATGAGAAAAATTGATGGAAATTTTCTTGCTCTTACTTGTATCAATCTTCAAGTGTTATTATTACAGGTGAACTCTCGCAATAATTTAAGTGTCCTAGGATGACAAAGAGCAGTTCTTCTTCTATCCCATACACTTATATCCCTTGTTAGCCCATTTGAGCTGGCGATTTCATTTCATACGAACCTAGTTAGTGATCATCCCTCACACCGGGGCAAGGCGAAGGTCACCACAGTTCGAGCATCGTGGTCCAAAGTGCCGAATGAAGATGAAAACCCTAAGAGCCTAATAATATTATTTTGTTCAAACTTGTCTAGGTTAGTTCCTAACAACGCCAAAGGAACAGCAAAAAATGAATCAATAAAAATTAAGGGTGTGAAAAAGCAGTGTGCTTGGTAAAAGTAAGGCCAACGCCCATAAATGAAAAAATGTACTAAAAACTAGGGGCATAAAAAAGCAGTGTGTTTGGTAAAAGTAAAGCCAATGCCTATAGACAAAAGTGATCAAAAAGTGAATTCCAACTATAAAGGAATTTGTAACCCAAGCAAATTTGCAATTGTTGGACAAAAGTCTAAGAAGCCAAAGCGCAAATTATCTCGGGGAGTTTGCAAAAAAGATCTCGACCATGAAGAAGAAGACTGGTAACAATGCCAAGATGATCACCAATGCTCATCCCTTATTCACACATTTTTGAGCCTAACGATCCTTTCGTTTCTCAACCCGTGAGTCGAGCCTACGTTACGTCTCTCATGAAGTCTCTTCTGACTAGGGCACCTGAATTAACGTAGAGTTTTAAATGTTTATAAATATCGCTCGAGGAAGTGCGAGCAAGACTACTTCTATCTCATTTTGTAGGGTTCTTGACATGTAAACCCAGAGATGATTGCGGAGTATTTTCTTTCATGGCCTTGACTCAGACTAAGCCATTGACCAAGCCTGCATTATAACCCTGAAGAAGACCTCTCAGATTGGTAGCGTTGTACTGCTTGCGAGAAAACTTAGACCCTTGTTGATGTGATGATGATTAGATTGAGTGTTTTCAATATTCCCGCATCAATGTTGGGATAAAACAACCTTTTTCAATGAGAGCAAGTAGAAGGTCCTTTTTGACTGAAGGTCCCTCGTTTAGTATCTTGAGAAGTCCACCTTGCGAGCAAAAATTGTCTTAATTGATAATTTCCCTCGGTGGATTTTTGATGATGCAAACATGGCAAAATTATCATGCATGAGCTTTCAAAATGAGCATTCTTGAA